CTCTAATATTTATTTTTTATTTTGCCATCTAACTTAAATAAAAAAGAATGTAAAAGATTTTTCACTTTGCTTACTATATCGTAAGACTGTATTCGATATTATACCATCGATTTAGAGCCTTATCTACTTACGTTAGTCTCCATTCTGTTTCGCACCTAATCACTAAAAAGTAATTAAAGTGCCTCAAACAAAAGAGAGTTACGCAAAGTGGAGATTAAACCAGGATCGCGTCCATCGCACCTAAAGTTATGAAAGGGGTGTGAACACAAAGGAGGTATCGAGCAGCGAAGACAATGTATCACAAAAGAGCACTACCACCTTCTGTGGAGGTGGAGGGAGTGAGGAGGGCAAGGATGGATTTGAATTTAAAACTTTGATCTGCTCATCCTGGTCTCTATTGTCGCTGATTGATCACGTAATACGGGATCCAAGGCAAATATAACCGAGCCTCAGCCTTCAGCTAATGCTTGGGCCTTCAATGTATTCGGTAACTTTCGTGAATAGAATAGAATAGAATTATTCAAATAAACTTAAATTTGAGCACTTTTGAATAGACTTACTTACTTTTTAATCCATCGCTCATTCGGAAAACTGTCACATCACAAGAGAAACGGGAAACTTGGTTTTTTAAATAATTATCGAGACTTTACATAAATTAGTTTATTTGCGGACAACGTTATAATTTCTTTTTCATACTGCTTTCTTGAAATATGATAGCGTAGCGGCTTTTGTATTGATTGCCGCATGCATCCTCATGTAAAGTGCGAATATTGTAACTGCCATATAGTAATTTTAAGTAGCTATGACGTGGTCGAGTGGAATGAGTAGTCATGCTCACTAAAATGTCGAGACATGAAGGCGTGGTGAGCCGGGTCATTGGACTCCCTAAAATATGGTCACTGGCTAATACGTCATACTCGTGAACGAGTGCTGCTTGTAGGGACTGGTCTGCTCTTATCACTACGACTGATTTAATCTTATTGTATATTAATATTTGACCCAAAAAAATTAGTGCTGGTTGGTAGTTTGTATTCACACGTTTCGACTTGTAAATGTAAACTTACAAGGATTATTTAAAAGAGCAACACACAAGTTTCTTGCTCGTTCTTCTTATGATGAGACAGCTTTCCGAACGAGCGGTAGATAAAAAAATTGTTATGACTATTCAAAAGTGCTTAAATTAAGTTTATTTGAATAAAAAAAAAACTGCCAGTGATTTATTGTAGGTCTAACATATTTTCTACAAACCAATACTGTATCTAGAGCAGTATTAATATCAGTCTTTCAATATTGTCTCCTCCAACAATATATATGAGTTAAGCTTGAGTCGAATACCATACAGAATGTACAACATAATGACTTTGGCACCAGAACTGAAACTGGGCGAGTAATCCGCATGAAAAATGTTCGCATTCCATCGGAATATCGGATCGTAATAACGGCATGGGCTAAGATTACTTTGTATCAATAAATATTGTTGTTACTGTCCTATAAACATAGGGCAGTGATACAGCACAGCCACAGATAACATAATATTTGGCACAGCTAAAATAAAGTTTGAAAATACATATTCACGTTAAACGTGTACTCGATGGTTTGTTGCTGGGTCTAGCTTAGCAGCTTAAGTTAGTTTTTTAAGTAATAAGAGCTGATGTGATAAGAGCAGACTAGTCCCTACAAGCAGAACTCGTTCACGAGTATGTCGTATGATAGTCTATGGTAAAAAAAAAATAATGTAATACCACGTTAACAGTACAGATAACAGCTATTATAATTATTAAAATATATTATGTATAACATAATTTTAATTACTAAGTTTATATTTAAGTTAAATTTCATTTCCAATGATTAATGAGTAAACTTTCGTGTTCATAATATTAACTATTTTCTCTTTAAGGTTGCTTGGGTACGTTACACGTAATCCATCAGAAATCAGGGCATGTCAGTAATTTGATTATAACTGTAATATAATAATAATAATCTCAGGACAATTCACAGCGCCATCGCCATCTAGACCCAAGTTAAGCTAGTTAAAGCTTGTGTTATGGGTACTAGATAACTGATACATATACATAGATATTTTTTTTGTAAATACATACATATTATACATAGAAAACACCCAGACCGATACAAACAATCATACTCATGAATACAAATGTTTGTGCCGTGCAAGGAATCGTACCCGCAACCATCGGACGTAAAGCGGTGTGCTAGACCGCTAGACCACCGAGGTCGGTGGGGCTATGGAACAAATGTATAAGAATGAATTCAAAACTTTTATTAAAAAAATTATTATCAACTACCGATACAAACAATCATACTCATGAATACAAATGCTTGTGCCATGCGAGGAATCGAACCCGCGACCATCGGACGTAAACGGTGTGCTGGATAGTATAGTGCTATATTATTTTTTATACACACATTTGTTTCATGTGAAGTTTCAGTTCTAACCATAAATTCATGGTCACAAATCCTATTGAATACCTCACCAACTACTCAACATCTTTCACCCAACTGACCATCAAGATGGATCAAATATTTTAAACACTTCTCAATTTATTTTATAATTCTACGAACAAATTTTCAATACCGATTGTGTAAAGAAAATAAGCAACAAACTCATAGACCAAGAGCCCACGACACAGACAGACATACGTCTTATTAGTAAATGTGAAAGATCTTGTACTTGTGTCCTACATAGGTAGGAACGATCCCAACACATGAAACCTAGATCGTGGTTCCTTTGGCAGGTAACAGGTAACAAAGGTGTAAAAGTTTTCATATCAAATTTCGTTATTTTAAGAAACTCCAGTTTTTCATAAAATTCAAATTTCAAAAATCATTTATTCATCTAGTTTCTACCCTTAGCCGCTTATGAACGTCAAGTTTTTACATTATAATTTTTTTCCCTACCGTCCAGTTCGGTATATAGATCCAATTGAGAAGAACTGGCAAGAAACAGTATATAACTGGCAAGAAACTCAATTGAATAACTTTTTTTTTAAAAGCCAGTTTATTTACAATGTATATTTATATAGGTGTCAATGTCTAACATTAAATGAAAATCCCGTGCATGAACAACTATTGCCATGCACGCTCGTCATTCAAGTAATCGTTTAGTGAGTAATAGGCCTTGCTCAGTAAATATGATTTAACAGTTGTTTTGAATTTATTTAAGGGTAATTCCTTTGGTATATATTCCATATATTGTTCGTAGCAGTATTATAACTTGCGCTGCTCATTGCCAGACACTTAGTATAGTTTCAACCCCCCGCCGGACCCCCCCAAACTATATTATTATATAATACAAGAACTTTCACTCAGGAACGAGAGTCTACGACATGGAATAACGTCAGACCATGAAATAAATATATTAGATGATGGTGCCATACAAACTGTTTTAGCCGATCCTTCAAACACTGCGGCTAAGGCAATTTGTTCACTGGTGAGGTAATCGAGTGATTAGTTTTAGAGTACAATGGGACTGACATGTACTTAGATGGTATAAAAGTCCCTAAATTTAAAAAGAAAAAAAAAGAACTTTCACATTTACTAATAAGACGTATGTCTGGCCGTCGCGGGCTCTTGGTCTATCAGCTACTTCTTCGCAATTACGACGGCGCTCCCGGATAACGTGCTTAGAGGAATTTTTCTAGGGAAGATAAACTTTTACGATATTTTAATAGGTTGATATCGTCTCTTATAATGCTAGTTATTAGACAATCCACGTTAGCATGATTCTCTCAGCTTGAAGTCGGTATTATAGACCGTGAATAGAATAGAATAGAATAGAAAATCATTTATTAAAATAAACTTAATTTAAGCACTTTTGAATAGTCATAACAATTTGTTTTTTATCTACCACTCGTTCGGAAAGCTGTCTCATCACAAGAAGAACGAGCAAGAAACTTGTGTGTTGCTCTTTTAGATAATCCTTGTAAGTTTACATTTACAAGTCGAAACGTGTGAATACAAACTACCAACCAGCACTCATTTTTTGGGTCATATATAAATATACAATAATATTAAATCAGTCGTAGTGATAAGAGCAGACCAGTCCCTACAAACAGCACTCGTTCACGAGTATGACGGATGAGCCAACCATCACTGCGCTCGACCATATTTTAGCTACTTAAAATTACTATATGGTAGTTACAGTATTCACACTTTACATGAGAATGCATGCGGCAATCAATACAAAAGCCGCTATCATATATCAAGAAAGCAGTATGAAGGAACCGACTTTAAGAAGTCTCTGTAAAAAGACTCATTTGCGTGGGTTTTTTTGTATAACACAGGGGACAAACTAGCATGCCATGCATGTGGGTACCTCAGACTCACCAATTTTAGCCGCCAAGTAGCTTACTTCGTAAGTTTTTTCGGTCATTGGGTGTAAATTATGCAGTGAAATTAGGGGCCGTCCATTCACACGTGATCTTTTTTTAAATGTTTTAACCCCCCCCCCCCCCCTTGGTGATACGTGGTGAGGTTTAAAACTACCCCCTTTTTTTATTGGATTGTTTGGGCTATTGTCAGATGTGTAGCACCTGTAGCACTGCAACCTACATAGATCTATTGTGCTCTTATTCTTAGGAGCGATCGTTTTTATCTCCTCGGGAAAGAGTGTAAACTTTCCAAAGGAGATATTTCGTTTATGCATGAGTGGGCTACAACCACATAGGATGTGAAGCGGCGTTTCCTCTTCAGTTTGGCAGAATCTGCAGATACTTGTCGTGCATAGGCCTAGTTTAGCCATATGCTTGTTTAATTTGCAGTGTCCTGTGAGGGCCCTAGTCATGCGTATGTTGTTTTTACTCAATAGCAGTAATCTATTGTGTCCTTACAGACACGTGGAGCAATAAAAATACTCAAAAAGTAATTAAATATCCTTGTATTTCGATAAGCTTTTACAGTATGCAAGTTTCGTGACTAAGTGAATTTGATGAGTGAATATAATTTTGTAACAGGTAGTAAAAAATAAATAAATATGACGCCTCGGTAAAATGTAATATTAATGATAGTTAGCCGGTTTTGCTATAGAAATTTATCAGGCTTTAACATCTTCCGCCCCGTTGAAAGACTCCCAAGTCTTTTAACTGTTCATCTCTTCATCAGTTGGTAGTGGACACAGTCGAGTTAAGGCTCGTCGTACGCAGCCTCGCGTAGTATTAATGTCAGCTACACGACACACGCCATCGGGTCCCGGGAATAAGCGTACCACACGCTCAAGACGCCATGCCAATGGAGGAATTGACGGTTCTTGAATCAGGACAAGGTCACCAACTTTCAGATTAAAGGAATTTATTCTCCATTTAGTTCTTTGCTGCAGCTCCACAACATATTCCTTTTGCCACCGCTGCCAAAAATGCTGTCGAATCTGCTCTAGTCGTTCGTATCGCTTGAGTCCATTTGGATTCATATCTTCCAACATGGGTGATGGTAGCGCTGAGAGGGGTCTTCCAATCAGAAAATGCCCTGGGGATAGGAAATGGTAGTCGTCAGGAGATGAGGATAACGGGCACAATGGGCGACTGTTAAGAATCGCTTCCACTTGAGCAAACAATGTTGAAATTTCTTCAAAGGTAAGATGACTATTGCCCATAACGCGCTTAATATGATGCTTAGAGGACTTTACCCCGGCCTCCCAGATTCCCCCGAAATGAGGAGCGTAAGCTGGGATAAAGGAAAATTTTATCCCCTCTCCAGATGCAAAATTAGATAGAGGTACTTCATTAGTCTTTAAAAATATACTTAACTCGCTAGCCGTAGCAACAAAATTGCGTCCGTTATCGGATAAAATTTCCACTGGCTTGCCGCGGCGTGCTATAAACCTTCTTAGAGTCATCAAGAAGTCATCTTTGGATAATCCACTTACTGCCTCTAAGTGAATACACTTATAGCGTAAGCAAACGAATAGGCATAAATAACACTTAATTAATTTAGAGCCACGTCCTTTACGATTTAGTATGTTAAATGGTCCTGCGTAATCTAAGCCTACAGACTGAAACGGAAAATCAGGATTTAGTCTATGTGAAGGAAGATCACCCTGTGCTCTCCTACAGATAACACACTTATGATAGGTAGTACGAGCTAGACGTCTCCCGTTTATAGGCCAAACTGTTTGTCTAATAGCCGATAATAATAATTGTGGACCAGCATGCATATTTTTGATGTGCTCAAATTCAAATAAAAGCTTCATAAATCGATGAGAAGCATATAAAACTATAGGATGCCGTTGCTCATATGGACAACTAGCAGCATCTATTCTACCACCTACTCTAATCTGGCCATTATTGTCCATAAAAGGAGAAAGCGATAAAATTTAGATTTTGTATGTATTGTTTTGTTTTTAGACAATAATGCATATTCCAATGGAAATGATTGTTGTTGTGCAATAGAACATAATTTGTAAAAAGCATCATTTAATTCATCAAAAGTAAGTACATTCGATCTTTTATTTTTTGGATTTCTTAAATAAAAAATAAATTTCATAACATAAGCAAATGATCTTTGTAATCTAGAATATTTAGAGAATCTTTCAAAATTTACTATAGCCTCAGAAGTAATTACAGAATTAACCTTTATCTCTGGAATTTCATGTGGAATATTAGGTTTTAGTGTAGGCCAGGTGGACTCATCGTATGATAAATAACTAGGACCGGACCACCACAGTTTCAAATCATTAAGCTGGCTAGCACTTACGCCTCTGGAAATCAGATCAGCTGGATTGTCCGAGGTGGGTACGTATCGCCAACAAGAAGGATTTGTCAAATCCAGTATTTCTCCTACTCGATTAGCGACAAATGTTTTTAGCTGCCTAGGATTATTATTCAGCCAACAAAGGACAACACTGGAATCACACCAATGCACTAGACGCGTTGGTTTATGCCTTATTGATTCTATCACACTGTTACATAACCTAGCAGCAAGCAAAGCTGCACAAAGTTCCAAACGTGGAATCGTAACTGGCTTCAGAGGAGCCACCTTTGATTTGGCACACAACAACTTAACTGTGATTCGATTGTTACTATCTATAGATCTTATATAAATGCAAGCACCATAGGCACATTGTGACGCGTCACTAAAAGAATGCATTTCAACAATATTTGGTAAGTCACATAGTACATACCTAGGAATCTGTAATGTAGGTAAACTATTAATACCCCTACAGATTTCATCCCAAGTATTTTTAATTTCTTGGGGAACAGGTTCATCCCAATCAATCTTTATAAGCCAAAGTCTTTGTAAAAGCATTTTAGGTTGAATTATGCACGGACTCAATAAACCCAACGGATCAAAAATTTTGAATGAATTTGACATTATTGAACGCTTTGTAATCATTATATTTTGAGACACGGTATTGATAACTACAGGGAAATTCAAATTATCGGTGATTGGATTCCATCCCAATCCTAAAGTATTGGAGGACTCACTTATAGTTAAAACTTCTTGAGCATTTGGTTCTAAACTATTTAAAATAATAGGTGAATTAGTTTTAAATTTTCTTAATTTGAAACAAGACTCATTTAATGTTTTAGTAATATGATTTTTTATGTAAAGCAATTGATTTTCGTCATTACAACCAGTAAAAAGGTCATCTACATAAAAGTCATTTTGTATTATAGTTTTAATTAAATCGTCCCCACACTCTTCACCCACTTGCCAAAGACACCTCGTACTCAAATAGCTGCCACTTGCTGTTCCGTAAGTGACAGTATTTAATCGTAGAGTTCTTATAGGCAGCGACTCATCTTCTCTCCATAAGATTAACTGTAAGTTACAGTCTTCTAAATCGACACGTACCTGGCGATACATCTTTTCGATGTCACCGGTCAATATGTATTTATGGTGTCTTCCTCTAATCAATATGGAGAAAAGTGAATCTTGAACATTCGGGCCTACCATGTGAAGATCATTGACGGAGTATCCAGAAGAGGTGGGAGCTGAGCCGTCGAAAACGACCCGAAGCTTAGTGGATTCACTCTGCTGTTTATAGACAGGATGATGGCTTAAAAAATATGACGGATTTGGTTTAACAACAGCAGAATCAGACAGATGATTAAGATCCTCATATTCTTTAATAAATTTGGAATATTCTGTTTTTAATGCAAGATTTTTTCTAAAACGTTTCTCTAAACAAAGAAATCGTTTTTTAGCTAGATTATAAGAATCCCCTAAGCAATCGGGAGTATCTATCAAAGGTAGTCGTACACAAAATCTACCTGATTCTAAACGACGAGTATGTGCTTCAAAATGTTTTTCACATTGTTCTTCAATTTTTGACATGAGTGTTCTTTGTGGTATATCCTCAACTTCCCAAAATTTTGTGAGAGCTTTGTTGATTTCTAAATCATAAGATGAATTTATACATTTAGCAAGATTACAATTAATATTATAGTTATAAGTGGCTGTCTGTATAGGACCAGCAATCAACCAACCGAATTTACTTTGTTGAAGCTTAGGGTTATTAGAGCCTAATGAACGTTGATTACGGCCTAAAATATTCCAGAAGATATCAGCTCCAACTAAAACATCAATAGGGCCTGGTTGCGCAAAAGTTGGATCCGCCAACTGTAAATTTTTGGGTATATTTAGGTTACGTATATTAATAGGTGATTTTGGAAGCTCACTTGTTAATTGTTCCATTACTAAGCAAGAAAGAGTAACATTAAATAATTTGTCTATAGAAGTCAATTTTATAACGCAATTTTCTTCAACTTTAGATATTGAATTATTGCCAATTCCTATGACATTTATAGTATTTATAGTTAGATTTTAAGTTTAATTTTTGTTTTAAAGATTTAGTTATAAATGAACTTTGGCTACCACTATCAAGTAGGGCACGTACCCTTTCTACTTCATTAGTGATAGGGTTGGATACTTCAATCATTGCTGTGGACAAAAGTATCTGGGTTGTTTTTTGAACATTGTAGTTTGAAACTGTTTCAGCATTATTAACTGCTGTATTAGCTACGACTGCAGTTACAGGTTTATGCAGCAATGTATTGTGTTTTTTCTTACATTCGCGGCAGGGTCCCATACGACATTCGGATATAGGATGACCCTGACGTAAGCAATTACCACATAATTTATATTTTGTTACATCAGATAATCGTTCTTGGACATTTTTAGCTTTAAAAGTAGGACAGTCATAAATTCTATGACTTTCATTGCAAATAATACAGACGTAAGTTTTTGGCCTCTCTTGATTTGCATTAGAAAATGATTTGGTATACTGTATTTTTTCTCGTTTATTATTATTGAAATGAGGTGGAAAACGATTAACCTTAACATTTCTATCAGGATTATTTTCATTCTTATTTCGGTTTAGTGCTTCTAAAACGTCAGCACGATCTATTAAAAATTTCTGAAATTGTTCTAAAGTAGGAACATCACTAAAAGTATTACGCATTTCTTCCCATTTTGTTAAAGTGCGGCTATCTAATTTAGAAGATAACATGTAAATTATTAGCACGTCCCATTTATCTGTATGCTGGCCTAGGCTAGATAGAGCACGCAGGTTCTTTTTAACATGATCTACCAAAAATCGCAAGGACCTTTCAGACTCACGTGTTATTTGTTGTATATTAAACAAAGAATTAAGGTGGTGATCAATAAGCAACCGTTTATTATCGTAACGCTCAAAAAGTAATTTCCACGCTTCAGTGTAATTATCTGAAGACACTTCAAGGTTACAAATAATGCGCGCCGCATCTCCCTCCAGGTAAGACAGCAAATAATGAAATTTATGTATTGGAGGAATACGCTCATTGTTATGAATAAGATTAGAAAACGTGTCCCTAAACTCAAGCCAATGAAAATAGGACCCTCCAAACTTTCCAATTTGAATTTGGGGTAATTTAAAGCTCAGTTGTTGATGATCAAGATCACATTGAGACTCATGAAGAATAGATTCACGTCTGTGCTCATTTTGAATTATATTATGTTGTTCAATAAGAGTTTTCGCTGTAGCGATGCTAAGTATTAGATCCTGCTCAATGTTATCTCTTTCATCGATCTCCGAACCAATATTTTCAGAATTAATGACCTCGATCTCACTTTGCAACTCATCAAATTTTGCTGACAGTCCCTCAAATTTGCTTAGTTTAAGAGATAATTCCGCCATTTCAATATTTGAAAGCTTCGACTGTGTAGCCACCTTGTCTAAGTAATTTTTGAATTTAGTTATTTGACCCTTTACAGAACTTCTTTTTATAGTGAGTTCTTTCAAGCTAATCTTTGAACTTCCTTTGTCTGACAACATTGTAATAATAGTTTATCAATAACAGTTAGTTTACCTTTTATTAAATTCTGAATATTGAGATGATAAAAAAAATATAACTTTAAAGTAAAGAAATAAAAATACTTATAATATAAAGTAGGTAAAAATATATATAAAGTAATATTAATTAGTACTAGTAGTAAATAAAATAACCTATATTGTTGTAAATATGTTGCTGTTTTACTACAATATTACATTAATACACCGCGGGGTGAGTAAACAAAGTGAGAAATGGTCAGCAAAAGATAATAAACAATTATAGCTCACGCTCCTCGTTACGGCGTTCTCTGCAGTAGACCGTTGCTGTACGCCAACAGCAGGTAAGCGATGCGCTGGATCGCTGACAGTAAGCTGCGAATGCGCAGCGCAGCGACCCTGGAATGTTCGGCGACGTACGTGAAATTAACAACGTAGTTACAAACGGACGAGAATAATAACGATTAGGGCAAACAATAATAAATAAATGAAAAACTAATTTCTAAACTAATCTAGATATCCCTTATGTAATATAATTTATACCTTAGGTTTATTAAACAAACAAAATTAATAGTCTATTTATCACTTATTGGTTGATATTTATCTATAAAAATTATATTTATTACTTGTTGTAGATAATTAGGACAAAATATGCATAATTAAGTGTTTAATATGATGACGCAATCTTTACTTACCTACTGTAAAATATGTTAAATATATTATCGATCGTTATATGTAATTAAATAAAATAACAACAAAAGATATATATTGCTGTTA